AGCTACAAGTGTCCAGCAGCACAGAAATCTGGAGAAGAAATCTCTCTGTGAAAGGGTACTGTGTGTATGTGCTACTTTGCATATGTGGCCTAAATGCTGCTGTAACAAGTATGTTTTCAATGTAGAAAGGGCAAAGCGGCAAAGCATGACTTCCATCAGAGTAAGGAGACAAGCCAATCAGACATCTGGATAAGAGCAATGAAGATAATCACACCAACCACCATTTATTGTGCTAAATCCCTTCGATTTTATTAAACTCTCCAAACAGCCCCATGGTCCAGATCTCAATGCCTTCATTTTATAGCTAAGGAGACTGTTACTGGCAGGAGGCGGTCTCATCTGTTTTAGGGTCACAGAACTAGTGTTTTGAATCAAGGGACACACTAGTAAATGATCTGTCCCAAAACAAATTCTGCTTTGGTAGTTGTTAGGATAGAGGAATGTGGTAAAGAAACAAAAGGGCAAGAGAGGAAGATTTATTTATTTTATAACATTTTCAAGTGTTAAAATTATAAAAACCACCAGAAATTTAAATAGTACCTATTACAAATGGCTTTGTTACATTTTTAAGGAAAACACAGCATTTCTGTATCAAAAATATAGTAAAATAATAAAAATAAAATTTTAGATGCTGAAAGGCTTTGGTTCAAGTACATAAACATTAGTTAGCTACAGTTTGGCAAATATCTTATCATTTAAGGCAAAAGGAAAAGACAAAAAAATTCATACTCACTGTGTCAGCTCAAGGGTAGCTTTTCTGGAAAATGCCCATGCTACTCTTTCATTTTTATCTTTGGGGATGTCATTTTTATCCTCATATGCCATGAAATAGAGTGAAAATTTCATAGAAGGAAAATCTAATTTTTGGATTAGCCTGAAATTAAAAACCAACAAGCCTGAATCATTAATAACAGAAAAGACTGATTTGTACTAAAAATCAACATGACTTAATATTTAAATTAGAGTACATTGCTGACTTCTGAGATAATTACCACTTATTACAGTTTTTTAAATGCAAGCAAAAATTTGTTACATTTCTGTGTCATTGTCAGTCATCCTTTTATAGAGCCTTATTTTTATATAAACCTCTTTTCAAAAATGTGGCAAAAGAAGTTGCTTATTAAAGGAAAGACAAATTAAGACAAATTGAGACTCTAACAGGTCAAGACAGTTACCTCAAATTATTTAAAGTGGTTATAAGGTGCAGGAAAAATAATTGGCTTAATCACTTTTCACTTGCATGTATCTTAGCTACACAGACTGATATTTGGGAAGCTGGGCTTAATTCAATTCAAAGTATCCTCCTCTAAGGCAAATTAAAATATATATTCTCTATATTGTGGCTTCCTGACAAGAAAATAGAGAAGAGGCCGGCGCCGTGGCTCAATAGGCTAATCCTCTGCCTTGCGGCGCCGGCACACCGGGTTCTAGTCCCGGTCAGGGCGCCGGATTCTGTCCCGGTTGCCCCTCTTCCAGGCCAGCTCTCTGCTATGGCCAGGGAGTGCAGTGGAGGATGGCCCAGGTGCTTGGGCCCTGCACCCCATGGGAGACCAGGAAAAGCACCTGGATCCTGGCTCCTGCCATCGGATCAGCGTGGTGCGCCAGCTGCAGCGCGGCCATTGGAGGGGTGAACCAACGGCAAAAGGAAAGACCTTTCTCTCCGTCTCTCTCTCTCACTGTCCACTCTGCCTGTCAAAAAAAGAAAAAAAAAAAAACGAAAATAGAGAAGAGTATTATGTTCAATAATATAACATGGTTTCTAGTTAAAGGTCAGTAGGCATGTAGGCAAGAGTGGGAAAACTACATGTGGGATAAAGTATCATTGAAAAGGAAAAAAAAATCTTTATTCATTTCACACATGGAATGTTCTTGAATCTCAGCTAAACAATAATAGCCTTTTAGGGGAGAAAACACATCTGATAAATGTGCATATGGATTCTAAGACCCGGGCTGGCACTGTGGCGTAGTAGGTTAAGCCTCTGCCTGAAGTGTTGGCATCCCATAGGAGCACTGGTTCGAGTCCTAACTGCTCCCTGCTCATGGCCTGGGAAAGCAATGGAAGATGGCCCAAGTGCTTGGGCCCCTGCACCCACATGGAAAACCCGCACGAGGGTCCTGGTTTCAGATTGTCCAGCTCTGGTCATTTGGGGAATGAACCAGCAGATGGAATACCTCTCTGTTTTTCCCTAACTCTGCCTCTCAAATAAGTCAGTCTTTAAAAAAAAAAAAAAAGACCCAGCCCAACTAGAGGATGTAAAAAGTAAAAGACTTTTCTTACCACTGTTTATACATTGTTTACTGGTTGAAAAGTGGAATTTGTATGTAATAAGTAAATGTGTACTCTGTGTGTAACTTAAATAAATTTTATTTTTATAATAAAAAAAATTCTAAGAAAAGACGTGTGTGTGTGTGTGTGTGTGTGTGTAGAGACAGGGAGAGACAGGTATAATGAGAAAAGCAAAGAAAAAAAATCTCCTTGCAGCTGGCAGCACTGTGGTGTAACAGGTAAAGCTGCCACCTACTGGGATCCCATATGGGCACCAGTTTGAGACCTGGTTGCTCCATTTTCAATCCAGCTCCCTGCTAAATGGCTAGGGAAAGCAATAGAAGATGGCCCAAGTCCTTGGCCCCCTGCACCCATGTGGGAGACATGGATAAAAACTCCTGGCTCCTGGCTTTGGCCCAGCCCATTTGTAGCCATTTGGGGAGGGAACCAGCAGATAGAAGACCTCATTCTAATTCTACCTTCCAAATAAATAAAATAAATCTTAAAAAACAAAGCTGCTTATCTGTAAATATCAGTGAAACACACACAAAAAGCAAACTTTTTAAATTCATCAATGAAATTTAGTTGGAATTATGGAATTTGTTTAAAAATAGAAAAAGGTATCTTCAGGGGCTAGCGCTGTGGTGTTACGGGTTAAACCATTGCCTGCGATGCCAGCATCCCATATGGGCACTGGTTCTAGTCCCAGCTGTTCCACTTCCAATCCAGCTCCCTGCTAATGTGCCTGGGAGGACAGAGGAGGATGGCCCAGGTACTTGGGCCCCTGCAACCACATGAGAGACCTGGAAGAAGCTCCTGGCTCCTGGCTTTGGCCTTGCTCTGCCCCTTTAAAAAAAAAAAAAAGAGGAAAAAAAAAGAAAAAGATAGATTATGCCATTCAGTTTAATAGACACATTTTTAAAAAGGTTTACTTATTTATTTGAAAGGCAGAGCTAGAGAGAGAGAGTGTGGAACTGTGGCACAGTGGGTTAAAGCCCTGGCCTACAGCACCAGCATCCCATATGGGAGCTGGTTCAAGTACTGGCTGCTCCACTTCCGATCCAGTTCCCTGCTAATAATGCTCCTGGGAAAGCAGTGTAGGATGGCCCAAGTCCTTGTGCCCCTGCATCCACATGGGAGACCTGGAAGAAGCTCCTGGCTTCGGATGGGCCCAGCTCTGGCCATTGCAGCCATCTGGGGAGTGAACCAGAGCGGATGGAGGACCTCTCTCTCTCTGTCTCTACCTCACTGTAACTCTTTCAAATAAAAAAAAAAAAAATCTTTAAAAAAGGGAGGGAGGGAGGGAGAGAGAGAAAGGAGAGAGACAGACCTTCTGTCTACTGATTAACTCCGCAAATGGTCACACAGCCAAGTCTAGGCCTGGCCAAAGCCAGGAGCCAGGAACTCCATCCTGTTCTCTCACTTGGGTCAAAGGAACCCGAGCACTTGGCCCATCTTGTGCTGCCTTTCAAGGAGCCTTAGCAGGAAGCTGGATTAGCAGCAGAGTAGCTGAGACCTGGACTGGCACTCCAGTAAGGGATGCTGGAGTTGCAAATGGAGGCTTATTAACACTCTACGCCAAAATACAATTTACAAAAACAAATAAAAAACATAAGTAATAGCCTATAAAGTAAGTCTAAAGAGTACAGAATTATTTTGCAAGGAGTAAGGTAGAATGAGGATCATACTCCTATAATTTTCTTTAGATTACAGAGGACGAAATGCTCAGATGACCTTGTTAATAATCAAGAGCAAATGGCTGAAGCACGGCAAGTGGGAAGTTTCTAGAGCTCTGCTTCAATCTTTTATTCAAGTATCACAGCTTTGTTAAAAACTCGGCCCCCGAGATCAACGTACCGATTTATCACAAATAAGATTTACTCTAATAAGCTGTAATAAAGAATCAAACACTTTAAATATTCTAATCAGGAAAAATTATCTGTGCACTGACTAAAGCAAACTGCCCAAGCTTTACAGACCAGTCAGAGGGGGAACCGAAGCAAATGAACCCACTGCAACTTGCTTGTCACGTCACTGTCAAGTTGCGCCCTATTTTTGCGTTCTCGAAAACCAAGGTCAGTGATGGCGTCCATCAGGGATGGGTTCAAATTCCAGCTTTGCAAGGTGTCAACTTTGAGTTGGGTCCAGTGATTTCACCCGCTGTAAGACTTTGTCTCTTCATCTATAAGGTGGGGATAAAAGCTTCCTTATGGGTCTAGTGTGGAGACTGAGTGAAATAACACATGGAGTGCCTGACAATTAGCAGGTGTTCAATAAATTTGTTTGCATTCTGCTCTTTAAGTATACCACCAGTGAACACATAACTACTTCTAATAGAATCATAAGGAATTGTTAACAACAGTTATCTTTAGGGAGAAGAATTATAGCAGGAAGGCGATCACTTCACATTTTATATTTTTCTGAACTGGTCACATCTTCTAAACCTAGACATTTACTTATTACTTGATTTTTTTCTCTCAAAGTCAATAGAGATTTTCTAGGCAGTAGGTTAAAGATCATTTTATTCTTTATGTATCTGTATTATAAAAAAAAAAAAAACCAAAAACCCAAAGCCCCAAGCCCCAAATGTAATTTAGAGAAATAAAGAAAAATACTTTGTCAATTCTGCCTCAATGCACTGGAGGAAGGGGAAGAGGGAAATGAGCAAATAAATATGCTTTAATGATTCTAAGAATGCGCGGATACTTCCTGTTCCGTAGAAAGAGAACACAGCCTATACAAATGAAATAGGTGGCCAGTTTTAAGTAAGCCCATTCATATCTGCACATTTCCTGAAGCAAACAGCAAGCTAACAGTGGTCAGAACATCAAGAGGGGTCCGAACATATTAAGGATTTAGGTGGCAGCTCTGAGAAGGGAGAATGGAGAAAATGCAAGTATTACGGTCCTTTGTTGCCCACTGAGTCTGGCTGGAATAGAGAAGAAAAGAGCTTAGCAGAAGCCCTGACCAGCTAGGCCTAGTCACAAAAGATGCTTTGTTACTCCTGAAAACAAACTTTTAAGTCTTAAAATGGGCCTGAAAACTCCCTGCTATTTGCAAAATTATGTATGCAGGGACTTCAACAAGTTCACAGAAAATAGAATTTAAGAGATAAGTCTATTTTAGTACAAAAAAAAAAAAAGGCAAGAAATCCATGTATGCAAAAAAATGTTATTTTGAATTTATTCCTTCAAGAGATAAAGAGATAGAGATAGAGATATATATAGAGAGAGACATCTATCCACTGGATCACTCCCAAATGTCCACACTGGCCAGGACTAGGCAGGGCTGGCCCAAAGCCATGAGCTCAATCCAGGTCCCAAATGTCAGGAACGCAACTACTTGAGCCTCACCATTGCCTCCTAGAGTCTAATCAGCAGGAAGCAAGAATTCACAGCTGGAGTCAAGAATGGAATCTGAGCATCCTAATCACTAAGCTACACCTGCTGGTATGCATGGATTTTTTTCCTACACCAAAATAAACACCTTCTAATTCCATTTTTTCCATGAACATTTTGAAGTATTTAAACATGAAGGTACCAATAAGTGTTTCATATTTAAACATTAAAATGCCAATAAATATTTTACTTACGTCATTCCAAGAATTCTAGTATAGAAATCCAATGACTTCTTAGGATCCTTAATTCGTAGCATGGTCTGTTGCATTAAAAAATCCTAAGGAGAAACAGTATGTTTTAAGCACTTTTAAACTCTTACTAGTAATTATCAACATTAATAGTGCTTTCTGTAATAAGATACCATCTTCTACTCTAACAAAAAAAAAAAAAAAAAAAAAAAAAAAAAAAAAAAAAAAGAAAAGGAAATTTTGTCCTTTCAGCCTACCATGGAAATCCCCAGGAAACAGTTCTCACACCTGACACCTACACCTTCCTCTGGTTCTCTTCTCGGTGATGTCTTCTGGTCACGGGCCCCTGCGTGCAGCAAGTCCAGTATACCAGGTAATTCACATCCCACTCTAAATCAAAGGTAGACAAAAGGAAACCTGGCTTCCTTGCCTTTTTAAAAAAACAAATGTTTTTTCCCTTTGGAAAATTCTCATAGCCACTTCTCTCCTGTGAGTCCCAGCACATAACATACAAGTACACTTGATTCATTCAGCCTCATTAGGAAATGACATTTTACTATTTTACTAAAATTAAAATTCTCATTTAAGGGACTGGTGCTGTGGCACAGCAGGTCAAGCTGTCGCCTGTGATGCTGGTATCTCATATAGGCACTAGTTTGAGTCCTGGCTGCTCCACTTCTGATCCAGCTCCTTGTTAATGTGCCTGGGAAAACAGGGGAAGATGGTCCAAGTGCTTGGGCCCCTGCATCCACATGGGAAACCCAAAAGAAACTCCTGGCTCCCGGGTTTGGTCTGGCCCTGCCCTGGCCTTTGTGGCCATTTGGGGAGTGAACCAGTGGATGGAAGATCTCTTTTTCTATCTTTCCCTCTCTCTCTAACTCTTCCTTTCAAATAAATTAAATTAAATTAAAAAATATACTCTTATTAAATGGCACGAAGATATGCCCATGGTATGCTAACTTCAAAAAGCACTGTTGAGAGAGGGCTGGCATTGTGACATAGTGGGTAAAGCCACCGCAAACAATGTTGGCATCCCATATGGGTGCCAGTGCATGTCCCGGCTGTTCTACTTCTGATCCAACTCCCTACTAATGGCCTGGGAAAAGCAGCAAAAGATGACCCAGGAATTTGGGTCCCTGCTACCCATGTAGGAGACCTGGATGAAGCTCCTGGCTTTGGCCTGCCTAGCCCTGACCCTTGCAACCATCTGGGGAATGAACCACCAAATGGAAGATCTCTGTCTCTCCATTTCTCTCTCTGAAACTCTTTCAAATAAGAAAATAAATCTTGGGGAAAAAAAAGTGCTAAGTACATAGTTTTATTTAAGATGCTATTAAAATTAATTAGATTTTAAAACTAATGTTAAAGCTTTTAATTTTATCATCTATTAACATGGTCACATATTGTATGCTTAAATGCACATATAAGAATATTAAAGTTAGCTTGGGGCCGGCGCAGTGGCGCAGTGGGTTAATGCCCTGGCCTGAAGTGCCGGCATCCCATATGGGCGCAGGTTTGAGACCCAGCTGCTCCATTTCCAATCCAGCTCTCTGTAATCGCTTGGGAAAGCAGTAGAAGATGGCCCAAGTCCTTGGGCCCCTGCACTCATTTGGGAGATCTGGAAGAAGCTCCTGGCTCCTGGATTTGGATCAGCGCAGCTCCGGCCATTGCAGCCAATTGGGGAGTGAACCAGCGGATGGAAGATCTCTCTCTCTCTCTCTGCCTCTCCTCTCTCTGTGTAACTCTTTCAAATGAATAAATAAATCTTTAAAAAAAATATTAAAGTTAGCTTCAAAGTCTTACGTGGCAAAAGAAAGTAAAGCTATGTTCAGTGTTAGTGGATTATTCCTATACAGAGGCTTTAAATTGCTGTAAATTACATTTAAATAACAAGTGCCTGCTTTTTAAAAGCATACCAGGTTTTTCTATGCTCAGACAAGTTTTTTTTTATCACCAAAAAAGTCAATTACTTGTTAAACACTTGCATGATCTGGAGAAACATTCCTTTTTTAAAACATTAAGTTCCTAAAATTTACTTTTGTTTATTGCTATGATTTTAAAATACTCTAAAGTAAGTATATCTCATGTTTAAACAATTTGGACTGTACATTTATTTCTTGTTTACCTGACAGTTCTTTCCATACCATGCTCTAGATTCAGAACACAAGATGTCTTCTAGCCTGAATGATCTTCTGGTCCCCTGGAAAGCCTGCTGCTAGACAACAGATATGCTCCTTTGCCACAATGCTGGCCCCAAAAAGGTAGAATAGAAACAATCAGGGTTTTTTGTGGGGAGGTGTCGGGGGGGGCACATCTCACGGGAGAGAACACTGAAAGTGTACCAAGGATGCCTGCAGTACATGCACTGCCTGCCCACAATGCAACCTGAACAAAACCGTAAAAGTGGGGCAGGGACACAGGTACAGGTGGAAGATGGATCTCTCTCTTTCTCTTCCTCTAACTCTTTCAAATAAATACATAAACACATAAATGGGGGAGGCAGGAGACAGTTAAGGGTTAACTGGGGGAGTTGAGAAAAGCAAATTCCTAAACTGTTTCTCTCTGCCTCCTTTAGTCACGACCTTGAGGCAGGAGACAAAAAGGGCTAATTGGAGAAGCTGAGAAAAAAAATTACAAGCTTAAAAACCCTGCACTTAGAGGCTGCATACAGATGTGATAACGGCCAGATGGCCTACACAGCAGGTGACTTCAACACCACACGCAGGGCTTCTCTCCCAAGACCAACTCCTGTAACATCACAGCCCCGATTATCCTCCAGGCCTCAGTCTCAGTTCGGTCTGAGCTTTGATCCTTGGCCTGCTTCTACCCCCTTAAAAACGGTTACTTTCTTTTCCTATAATAAACTTGTGCTGTTAACACTTACTGTCTTTGTGAGCTTCATTCAATTCAATGTCTGAGGTTCCAAAGAACCTGTACCTCATCCTTGCCTTTCTACTCTGAAAGCCCCCAAGAGTGGGAATCCCCCAGTGCAGATTCCCTCTGCACCGCCCTGGCCAGGAACTCCAGGAGCCACCGCACAGGCACAGCTGGCAGAATCTGCCCGAGGGACAGTGAAGAGTCGCTGCACTCAGGAACGCCCAGAGCTAAGCCTTCCTATCAGCGAGTTCTAATTCCCTTTCTACAGAGGCAGTTTCTCAATGGGATTATTTTTAAAATAAGCAATATTACCTAGTAACAAAATGCCATTTTTCTTTGTTTCCTGAGAAGCATGGCTAGAGAGTTAACAATCAAATTCTCATAAAAGGGGAAAAGACTTGTTAATTCTATCCCTAGGTGACATAAAACAAAAATGAATAAAATTTTGGTTTTTCTTGGCTTTATAACATCAGCTTTTCAAGTACTTTCAGGTAAAGATCACTTTGTAAATGAAATTGTACCTTGAAGGGAACAAAACAGTTTTACTGTGTGACAACTGGGGCCCACGGTTAATGTTCAGTATGGTGGGATACATTTTTCAGCTTATTATCTTTATTTTTCTAGTGCTACTTCCCTGATCCAATGTATGTCAGAAGGCAACAGACTGTTCCAGAAAATAATCCTGCCATCCCCTTTATATTTATTTATTTGATCTAATCCAATAACATACTTCAAGTTGTATAAGGACTCCACAGACAAGGGACACAGAAACAAGTAAGAAGCACAAAGAAAAAATTTTTAAATTTAAAAATTACTGGATATCAGTAAACACACATGTCAATCTGCCCTAACAAACAGATGAGAGGAATCCGAGACGCCTTTGGTAGCATGAGGCCTTTCATTTTTCATGCAAAAGGAGAAAAAAAAAACCCAAATACTAGAGAAATTATTTTTGAGGCAATATGGTTCAAATGTGGGCTCTACCACTGAGACTGAGTAAATCATTATGTTCCTTGAACGTCAGTCTCCACATCTTAGGTAGAGATAATTATTGTTCTTAGCTCCTATAGCTGAGTTGAAGAGGGATAATGCATGAAAATGCTTCCATTATGCCCAGCCCAGAGCAAGCTACTTAACCATTGTTCTTCTTGCTGCTATTACAATGAAATACACCAATGACTACTGCCTTTGAATCCCAGGCTTGCATTTGCCAGCTCATACTTCTTTTTTTTTAATTTTTATTTATTTTTTTGATAGGCAGAGTTAGACAGTGAGAGAGAGAGAGAGAGAGACAGAGAGAAAGGTCTTCCTTTTGCAGTTGGTTCACTCCCCTAATGGCCACTACGGCTGGCGTGCTGTGCCAATCCAAAGCCAGGAGCCAGGTGCTTCCTCCTGGTCTCCCATGCGGATGCAGGGCCCAAGCACCTGGGCCATCCTCCACTGCACTCCTGGGCCACAGCAGAGAGCTGGACTGGAAGAGGAGCAACCGGGACAGAATCTGGCGCCCCAACCGGGACTAGAACCCGGGGTGCCAGCGCTGCAGGTGGAGGATTAGCCTAGTGAGCCGCGGTGCCAGCCATGCCAGCTCATACTTCTAACCTCAGCCCTGGACCTGAATCTAACACCGACTTGTCTTTTCCACTTGGGTCGAAACACCAGATTCATTACAGTCAAACACTTCTTCCTATTTCCAACAGGGAATGCCGCAGCTGCCCATCAGCCAAAGCAGACACTTGGGGTCTTCTCTGATTCCTCCTTCAACACACTTCTTCCAGGATCCAATCCAATGTCTTGACTACTCAAATCTTTCTGGAATCCACCTCCTCCTAGCCTTCCTAATGATCATAACTCTGCTCATGCCTTTACTACTTCCTGCCTAGACTACCATTTCTCTGCTTCATGCAGGCCTACACGAATGCAATGCAGAATAATCTTCTCATAATGAAAACCCAAATTCTGTCATTTCTGGGTTAAAAATTAATCTTCCAGGGTGGGCATTTGGTGCAGTGGCTAAGATGCTGTTTGGGATGGCTGCATCCCATACTGGAGTGGACAGGGTTCAAGTCGTGTCTCTGCTTCTGATCCACCTTCCTGCTAATGCAGACTTGAGAGGCTCAAGTATTTGGGTCCCTGATTCCCATGTTGGAAACACAGACTGAGTACCTGGGCTAGTTCCTACCCCTGGCTATTGTTGGTATTTGGGAAGTGAACTACTGGATAGAACACCCCTCTCAATGTGTCTGTCTCTGCCTTTCAAATAAAATAAAAATAAAAAAATTTTTACAAAACCAGTATTTCAGGGCAACATTACGGTGTAGCAGGTTAAGCCACCACCTGCAATGCCAGCATCCCACAGGGGTACTGATTCAAGTCCTGGCTGTTCCAGTGCCAATCCAGCTCCCTGCTAATGCACCTGGGAAAGCAGCAGAAAGGGGCCCAAGTGCTTGGGTTCCTGTACCTATGTGGGAGACCCTGAAGAAACTCCTGGCTCCTGGTTTTGGTCTGGTCTAGCCTTGGCCATTGAGGCCTTTGGGGAGTAAACTAGAGGATGTCAGGTCTCTCTCTCTCTCTCTCTCTGTGTAACTTTGCCTTTCAAATAAATAAATCTTTAAAAATAAAACCAGTCTTTTAGGGGTAGGTATTGTTCTGGTGGTTAAGATACCCATCAAGATGCCTGTGTCCCACATCAGGGTACCAGGTTTGAAGCCTGACTCTGGTTCCTGACTCCAGCTTCCCTAATATGGGCCCTGAGAAGCAGCAGTGATGGCTCCAGTAGTTGGGTTCCTGCCACCCATGTGGGAGACCTGAGCTCCTGGCTCCTGGCTTCAGCCTGGCCCCATCTTGGCCAATGTGGGCATTTAGGAAATAAAGCAGCAGGTAGGATCTATCTCTGTCTCACAGCAATCTCAATGTTTTGGGGAGAAAGTTCCAAAAGTAAGCACATATGATTGCTGTATACTTCTCTAACACCTTTTATCACTATTCCCCTATTAGTTATTTCAGACATCTGCTATTTCATATCCTTATCACTTAAAAAAAAGCATGTACCCCAAATGAATGTATGTTTACTTGAATTATATACATGAATAATAGAATGCCAGTATAACATATACATCATAAAACACATTTATCAAATATAAATCTTTATAGCGTGCAAAAAACCAAATGAACATAATGGGAGTTCTCGGATTTCTCTAAGTACCCCCAATGATTGTTTCCTGCACCCGGCCCTCAGCTCCCACTAGCTTCCAGACTGTCGGTCTCACTGTATTACTTGTAGGTTCCTGACTCATTTTCTCACTGTGCCTTTACGTATATTATGACTCTTTCTGTCCATTAACAGTCAACCAGTAGTTTGGCCATTGTCCTTCTTCCTCCTTTCCATTTCCTATCTCATCTCCCCTTGCAACCAATTCTACACAGCTACGTCTTTATCTGGTAAAACCCGGTTCAAGTGTCACTATCATAAAATTTTCCTTGACCCCATTCCCTACCACTCAGATGGAACAGTGGCACTATATATAAACAAACAAACATACACCTATATCTATAGATTAAGGTGAGAACACACTGGTAGTGGTAATTTAGAAATAATGGCAAACACAGGAAGAAGAATGATCTTCTGAGATAACCACTCGAAGGAGTATGGACTTTTGAAGAAAGTCAGCCAAGTAAGACTGCCCAAGATGTGGAGCAGCTGTGCATTCTTTGGTCTGCTTTCATAAATGAAGATGCAAATGACCAATAAATAAGCTTTTTTTTTTTGACAGGCAGAGTGGACAGTGAGAGAGAGAGACAGAGACAAAGGTCTTCCTTTTCCATTGGTTCACCCCCAAAATGGCTGCTATGGCCAGCACGCTGCGCCGATCTGAAGCCAGGAGCCAGGTGCTTCTCCTAGTCTCCCATGCGGGTGCAGGGCCCAAGCACTTGGGCCATCCTCCAGTGCCTTCCCGGGCCACAGCAGAGAGCTGGACTGGAAGAGGAGCAACCAGGACAGAATCCGGTGCCACAACCAGGACTGGAACCCGGGGTGCTGGCGCCACAGGCAGAGGATTAGCCTAGTGAGCCGCAGCGCCGGCCAATAAGTTGACTTTATGCCAATGCTCTTCTTCCCATTCCACGTCAGACTCTCATCTTCTGGAACAGGTTTTGTTGTTGTTGTTCATTTTAAAATTTGAGAGGCAAGGATGGGAGTGGGGGGAGACAGACCGACACCACTCCCTCTACTAGTTCACTCCTCAAATGCCTGCAATGGCCAGGGCTGGACTAAGGCCAAAACTGGAAGCTAGGAGCTCAATCCAGGTCTCCCACGAGGGTGGCAGGAGTCCAATGACTTCAGCCACTACTGCTGCTGTCCAGAGTCTGCATTAGCAGCAAACTGCTGTCAGGAGCTGTAGCTGGGGATCAAACTCAGATGTTGTGACATGAGAATCAAGTCTTAACCACTAGGCCAGACATCCACTCCTGAAAGAGCTTTTCAGTGGTCTCATCACCTCCAGGTGCAGATGCTGTCCACCCTACAGAATGCTTTGAAATCCTAACTTGTTCCCCACTAGCTAGACACAATCTCACTCCCTTAGATGTTACACACATTCTCTCCAGGACTTGGCTCCAACCTGCCATGTTGGCCGTCTCTACTATTTAGATAACCTGAAATTCAACCGAAAATGGTTAACTAACCTTCCAGGACACGCCACGTATTTTACATGTCTACCATCCCTTCCCCTAGAATGCCCTCTGTCTGCTGGAGTCCTGTCTACCCACCAAGGCACAGGTCGGACACCACCTTGTACATAAGGTGCTCCTTGACCCCCACAGCTGAAACGTACCCTTGAGTTGTAGAGTATAATACATTTCATCTCTTTTTATCCTAAAAGCAGCTCTCTGAGACATCTCTACGTTCCTTCTACAAACTCAGCCCAGCTGCTCTGACAAGATCACTGCAGTCAACGGTAGCAGTGAAGGTTCAAATGCAGTCTTCAAAATCCAAATACCCTGTG